AATAATAACTACATTTTTAGATAATAAAGGAGTATGTTTTGTAATATTTTTTTTTGATGATAATTTGTATCTTTTTAAAGGTCAATCCTTTAATCTATGATATTCTAGATTAAAAATATTATAATTATCTTATAAATTATTTAAAAAAGTTCAGATTGTTGATTAAACTTCAGTAGATGAATTATAAATTTCTTTTAAACTAAATTCAATACTATTACGAAACTTTATATTAAATTATATAAGTAAACTTAGAAGTTTTGTTGTAATACATTCTAATATTGCAATTTAAATGCTTATTTTTACTAATGATATTATATCATCAAATTAAATCTTCTTGCTAATATTCTCTTTAATAATTAGCATATAAAAATTAATAGGTCTAATTTATTCAATATAATGTAATAAAGTAGTTGTGTAATCTTTTGCTTTTAAGTAATAATAATATTTATTTTAGATAGAATTTGATTTAAGTTAATGAGTATAAATAAATGATTGAAGAAAAACATGATATTGATGCCTACATGACATATCTTGATTTATGATATTCATGTAAATATAAAGTGAAGTTAAATCTTTAAGAATTACAATATAATAGGTGAAATTGAAGTTGTAATAATATAATAAATTTCCTATAGTTCTTAAAGATCATTGACAGATATATTCAATAAAAGTTCACATAACTAAATTTATAATATATCATATTCATATTCAATTATACTTTTAAATGTTAAATTAGATTCTGTAATTTATATATAAATAAAAAAATTATTAGCTGTTAACTTCATATTTCAACCAAAATAAATTTTCTAATGTTAATATTAATTCTTATTTCTGATCCTAACCCTTTTTCTGAACCTAATCCTAACCTTAATTTTATTAACTTTAATTCTAAACTTAATCTAATAATCTTAATCTACTCTAATCTTAATAATCCTAATTCTGATTCTAAACTTAATTCTACTAATCCTAATCTTATCATAACTTCACTTAATCTTAATTTTAAACCTAATTTTACTAATCCTAATCCTATCCTAATCTCACTAATCCTAATCTCAAATCTAATTTTACTAATTCAAATCCTATCCTAATTTCACTAATTCTAATTCTAAATCTAATTTTAACCTAATTCTAATTCTAATAATCTTAATCACTAATCCTGAATTCTAATATTAACTCTAATTCTAAATCCTAATCTCTAACTTTAACCCTAAGCAATTCCTTTTTAATACAAATAATTCAATACAAAAACTTTTCAAATATAAAATAATTCTATGAAAAAATTTCTAATAAAAATAATTTTAATATAAAAAACTTTAAAAAACTTATTTGATCAATTTTATTAAAGATGCTTGATATAATAAAACTGGTTTATCTGTATATATTAAAAAGATAAGAGAATGAGTACTAAATAAATTTGTAGCATTTGATTAATCTCTTTAAATATAGTGTTATAGGTTGAAAGAAGTCCAATTGATGAGTTTAAGCTATAATAATTTTTAATTCAAGAATATTGTAAATCTTTTTTTAATTCACTTTCAATAACCTTTACTAATTTTTTTAGCAAAATATTATGATCTAAATGTTTTTTTAATATATTATTAATAGATTTAATACATTGTGTTGGTTCTACTTATGCAATAAATATTTTTGCAATTAAATATCTTACCTAAGAATTACAACTAGAATAAAGTTTACTTTCAGAATATTATCAACAGAATTCACATTTTATAAGCATTTCATTATATTTTATTTTAAATTGTAATTTAATATGACTATTTCATATATGATAGAAATCTTCAATAAAATTTTTAATTATATTATCATGTAATTTAGACTTAGCTTTCTTTTTTACATTCTCTATAATATAATAAATACATAATAAATACTACATTTATGAAAATACAACTTGAATAACAATATTTATTATTGGGTCTTTATTAGTAAATAGTACTAATAGTTGAATTTTGTAACTTCAAGTGTGCATTACAAGATGCAAATATAATCAGTCTAAGTCTCATATTTGATTAGAGCTTAGGTAAGAATTCTTGTTTTATAGTTATGATCAATACTAATAAATAAACTAAGAGCTATTTTATAATAATTAGTTTTAACTATATTATTATAAATAATAATATCATAAAGCTGTGATCAAAAATTATTTTTCTAGTAACATATCATTTAAAAGAGATCTATAAGTTCATTAGATAGGTCCTTCAAACATAAAATAATTATATAATTAAGATTGTCATTACATTATTTTAAAAAGTAAGAAAATAATATAGCAGCATCAGACTTATCATGAATTCATATACTACAAAATTTGTTAATAGTATTATATAAATTTTCTTTTAATATAATGTTAAGAGAATTCTTTAATAAAAAGATCATATTGTTACCTAGTACTTAGATGACCAATAATAGTATAATACTCAAACTTATTTATAATTAATTGTAAAAGATATAAATTTTTTGATATTAATTCTATAGTCTTATTATTATATGAATAATTATAAAAGTTAACAAATTTGGTAAGATGTACTGTATTTTCTTAAATTCTTTTTAAGATAAAAGTTAACTTGTCATAGACAGTTAGTTTTACCATAAGTTTTATTACAATATATATTAATATTTTTAACTTTTTTATATGTGTTATATCAGATTTCTAACAATTATAATTACATTATCGAACAATAATTTTGTCAATAATATCAAGATTTTTGCAAAGCTTATTAATAATAAAACTATAATATTTTGCATATGATTTTATAGCATATTGAACCATATTTCAATTATTAAATGTATCGCTAACATATAACTCATTCATATTAGAATATATGAATATTTCTTCTTCTATAACTGAATTGTCATTTTTTTTAATGATTGAATATGTAATGTCATCATTTTTTGTATCAAAATATATATCATACTCTTTCATAATAAAATGCAAAATATTACTATTTTTTATAATACTTCTAAAATTATCAGATGTTATTAAAGAATATTAAATTTTAATCATATTTAAAAAAAAGAATAAAGTGAACAAAGTTAATACTCACTAAAATAACAAGTTTCATAAGAAAAATTACTTACTTTATAAAAATATATATTGTATTGTTAAAAAAAAGAAGAATCTCTTTTATTTATCGTAAGAAAAAAATTTAATTAGAAAAGTAATAATAGTTTAATTTAATTAAATAAAATTACATAAGTAATGCTGCATTCGTCATATTTTTATAAGTCATATAATACTGGTGAAAATTACCTGCAGTTAAATGTAGTAATTTTCTAATTATAAAATATTAATTATAATATTACAATTAATTATATTATTACACAGCCCTATAGAATCATGCTGAATTTGTTAAACTAATATTTTTTATATGAATATTAATAGTTTATTTGTGTACAATATTAGGCATTAAAAGTATATCTTTATATAATATTGCTATATAGTAAAGATAGTAAAAATTTAAGAATCTGTAATGTAAATTTTCAAATTAATTTGTTGTAAAACTCCATTATTTATCAAATCAAATAAATTACTAGTATTTATAGTAATTTCTAAATTAAAATTACTAAAAGTATTTTCTTGTAATGAATCACGTAAATTTTTTGAATCATCTAATTTTGATATTTAAATTTGAGAAATTATAACTAATAAATTGTAATTTGTTATAATTGAATGTTGGTTTAAATAGCAATAAATTGCTGAAACAGCTGCTTTAATAAAGAAACAGAATATTTATTACCATTTTTTTATTTCATTACTGCCAAATATTGTAATAATTGAAAATCTATTACTTTTATATCAGATATTTTCTCTAATTTTAGCTTGAAAATTTTTTTATAGCATATATCCAATTATTGATAAAATATTTAGTATTCTTAACTTCTAATTTTACAAAAAAAATTAATATTTTTTTCCAAATTATTATTTAAAATCTCATTTTAAAAATCATTTTAAATAATATTAAAAAATTTTATTATTGTGTAATATTATAACTTTAACTTACTAAAGTTTTTTTGTAAAAATTTTATTTAAGAAATAAAAAACAAGAAATGGTTTGAAAAAAAATGTTTATAATTAAATAAACTTTATTTAGAACATGATCTGCATTAACCATACAATAATATAAATAATATGTTATAATAATCATTAAAAAGTAATAAAGAAATTAAATTTTTATTTTTTATTTTTTTATTTCTTTATATTATACCCTGAATATTTTATAAATTTTAAATTTCAAGATTAGAAATTTCTATGTAAAATATCAGAGTATTTTAAAATCCAAAAATTTTTTTAATAGTTACTATACATAGGAGATACTTTGATCTATGATATTCAGTATATTTATATTAATTCATCTGATATGACTTAACTAAAATTTATATTAAAAATTACCGATCTGTATTAAAAATCAGTTAAGATTTTTGCATGCATATCAAACCTAATTCAAAGTAAAAACAGTGTTAGTTAATAATAATAAATTTTATCTGATTTTTCTTTTTTTGACTTATAATATTTTAAAGAGATAAGCTTACATTCTTTTGGATAACAATAGTTACATTTACTTTCTTTACTAATATAAAGATCAAAAAATTGATCTAATAAAAAGTTAACTACAAAAACCCTGATCACTTCCTACTTAGTAATAATTGGTTTTATATACAAAACCTGCTTACTTATATTAGTAAAGTTTGTTCATAATTCAGGTTTTATTTTACATGTAATATATTGCACTAAAATAGCATAGCTGATTTGCAAATAAAATTTATTTTTTTTTACAATAAAGTTATTCATCACTGTACAAGATAAGAACTTTATTATTATGTCTCTCACGTATAATAGTAATTTGGTTATAATTGTCATCATAAAGCCCATGTCAAAAATTTGGTTTTTTTCACGTACTTTTTTGAATGGTGCTGAAAGTCAATTATAACCCAACTTTTCAATAGAATTTTGTCATATATACCATTTTTGAATTGTTTTATGTGTTCCTTCAAAAGACTACCTTCGCAAATAAGCTCAATTCTCTAGCAACAATCTCTATTAATATAAAATCAAGAAAACTAGCGGAACTGAATGCAGGACTAACATCATCGCTTATTGATTCATTCTTAAGGACTACAATAGTAGAAGTGCAATACCATTCTATCTGCCAGCTTCTCTCATATATTGAACTTTTATCACCTTTTTTAAGTAATTCAGATAATTTAGATGGGTTCATACAATGAATAGACTTCTCTAAAAATTCTTCAAAGGTAATAGTAGGCTGTTTCGCAGAATTAGCAAACAAGTAATGGGTAAGAATAATTTGCATAATAGGGGCGGTAAACTGTATTTGATTATCAATCTCAACGAAAATACTGGACTTAAGAAATTTCTTGGAAATAGGGTTTGAAGCATAATCAATAATAAATGGAGTTTCATAATGACTACTAAGTAATACAAGACGAATAAATTCAGCTTCATCATGGCTTAGATTCTAGTCATTAATCCAGTAAAAAGCATGTGAGCATTTTATTACATCATTTCGTAATTGTGATAAAGCAAGGTACCGTAAAATACTACTGATGATTTATTTTGTATACCTTCACGAAATTTAGTGCGTAATAGAGTTAAAATAAATTGACACAGATCGGGGTATCTACTAGTAAGATTAAAGATGGCATTCCTAACATCCTTAAGAATGTTGAAGTGACTCCGAGATGAATATCTCTAGATAAAGTTTGCCACAAGTACATTAAACTCATATTTTGTTAAAAGTAAGGTATCTAAACTAAGAATATGTATAATTTCTATAGGTGATATTTCATCTAAAAGTGTTAGATTATATGTGTTGAGAAAAAATATCCAAAGATGTTTATTAAACCCTGTGTTTGACATAAGAGCCTTCACTTTTCCCAAAAAAAATGAAGCACGTTTGTCATAGATAACTTGCATTTCATCAATAAATAAATATATATCTTCTGTACAGTTAGCGATATTTGCCTAAGTCTGACCAACTTTATTCTTTCAGAACTCATCAAAGTAATCCATCTCTATTTCTTGATTGTTTTTTACAATTATATCAGCAAGGCTAATGTATATACTATCGTAAATTTCTTAGAGATATTCACTAAGAATACTCTTTCCTGATGAAGGCAGACTATGTAAAAGGATAATATGGTTCTCCTTCACAAATTTAGTGATGGTTGCCAATCTTTCAGATGAAATAACCATTAATGAATCATGGTTTTCATTTGATTCTTCACGAATTTCAACTTTAGCATTAATAAGAATTATAAATCAGAAAGAACTTAAAAAAAACACATTATTAGCAAAGTCACGCAGTATAGATATAGATTATTTACATGATTATTTTTTCTTCCGCTTTTCTCGTTCTTGTTCTCTTTCAACTTTCTTTTTCCTAATCAAATAAAAAAATTAACGCAAATTCCTTGTTCATAGGTAAAAATTGAGAGATACTTACCAGTTGTAACGGGCGATAAGGGCTACACAATAAATATACTTATTAGAATGACAAAATATTAAAATGTTAGAAAAATAAAATTATATAATAAATTAAAATATTAAAATAATGTAAGGATAAAAAATTCATATTTAAAATAGATAGAAGACAAATAGATATTAAGAATGAATGGAAAATAATTTTTTGTAAATTTTTTAAGCAATCTGTTTATTACTCTCCTTTACTAAATACCTTTTAGCACAATGTCTCCCAGAAATCATTTCTTTTTTATCTTTTTCTTCTCTTCTTTTAACTCATCTATTTTATTTTTTCATCTTTCTTTTTGTTTATCATTTATATATTTTTTATTATCAAACTTCTCTTTCAATTCGTTCAATATCATTCCTTTGTATTTCTTTTTCTTTCAGTTCTTCAAATCCTTCTTCGCTTCTTCATACTTTTTTACAATTATTTCAAAACTTGTCATTTCGTGAAATTAATAAAAAAATTTATTTTATTGTGATTTTATTATAATGACGTATTATTATAATATTAATATAATGAGTAGTAATGATTTTATTATAATGTTTTGTTATTATAATTAATTTATTTTAATCTTTTATAATGAGTTTAATTTTTATATATATATTCTTTTAAATTTCTTTATAAAATTATTTCAAGAAATATTTCAAAAATACTGTAAATATGGATATTATTAATAATAATGCTATACTAGAGAAAATACCAAATATTAGCTATTATAATAATTATCAATATACATATACTAGAAAATGGAATTTCACTATATGTCCAAAGTAAAATACTATATATTTTATTTGTAAATCAATGTTATCCAAATTTTTAGTGATGTATATGAACAAATAAATATCATCACATAATCATATTATTGAATCACTTAACATAAATATATATAGTCTTTTGCTTCACTTCGAATAATAAAGATTAATAATAATAAATTTTTAGATTGAAAAAGATTTGATCATACTTGACAAAGATGATAAAATAATAAATTTAATGACAGAAAAATAAGAATTGATAAGATCAGTTATTTTACATTACTAATGAAATATCTACCAACTTTTTTAAAAGAAATTTTTATAGTATATAATATTAAAACTTAAGAAAATTATGAATCAGCTTTTAATTGTCTGAAGCATAAGCATAAGATACTTTTGATTAAAGCTGAAACTATATATGTAATGTCTATTCTACATATGATATATCAAATTATGTAATAAATATAATATCAATTTATAATTGGCTAAAATTTAAGTATAATTGATGAACATTTCAGACACTTCAATAATTCCCATTATGTAGTAATATAAGAAATAAACATTATTTTTAATTTAGAATATTATAAAGAATATTTAATAATTATATATCTTTTTTGTAGATATAATATTTTCAAGAACATTCTTTTAAAAATGATAATATATTTGTATAGTATCCTTTTTTAAAATATAATGTTAAGAAGTATAATCATATATATTAAGGTATAAAAATTTATAAATACCTTAAAGAGGATTTTAAAGATAAAATTTATATAGAAGTTGATATAGATCATGATTTTATTCAAACTTCTAATAAAACATTATTAAATCAAAAATCAAAAAAAGCCAAGATATATACAGTGGTGCTCAAAAATATTGCATTACTTGAATACAAATTTTAAAATGACATTTTCTTATGATTAAGATAGTGTAGTATCATATAAATTATTTATTGGACTTATTATAACTAAATCTATTTAATATATGAAATTGTTGTATAATAATGAGATAAAATATTTATTTTTGAATAATTAGACGATCCTTTTCTTATGATTATTTTTTTATTAAATTTTATGTATACAAATAAAAATCAAAATCAATTCAATTATATTAAAACTTTAGTAAATAATTATTTATCATTTTGTATAGCCACCATTAGCTCTAATTATATTATTTATACAAATTGGCATAGTATAACTAACTTTTTACATACATTAGATTCTAACTCAATCTAATTTTTTTGAATTACATCCCATAACTGATTCTGTATTTTAACAGGTATTTTAAACTACCTTAATAATGATTTATTTCATTTCAAAATGTTTTATAGGATTTAAGTTAGGGGATTATGCTGGCCAATCAAGAATTTTAATCCTATTATCTTCAAATTATTGCTTTATAAGATGTGTAATGTGTTTAGGATCATTATCCTATTAAAAAATAATATTTTCTTTATTCATTCTATGTTACGTAATAATTCTTAATAGATTTTCCTTTAAAATTTAGCGATATAAATTATTATTTATATATCTATAAATTTAGCATATATTACCAACCCACCAGATATAAAACATTCTCAAATTATAATATTATCCTATTCAAATTTAACTATAGGTTTAACATAATAATTGCATAATGGTTTTCCTGACTTTTTCTAATAATACTCTTTACTATCTAATTCATAAATTATAAATTTTGACTCATTTGACTAAATCATTTTACTCTAATCTTCAACTATCCATGACTTATATTTTTTTGCAAATTTTATCCTTACGATTCTATGTGTTTTTCAAAAATATAGTTTTTTACATTTAACCCTTATATTTATTCTATTTTTATGTAAGGTTCTCTTTATTATACATTCACTAACTTCAATTTATTCTTCTATTTTAATTTTTTTTGAATTGCAACAGCATTATTACATTCACCTATTATAATTAATCTCAAAACTTTTCATTCATATCAATCAGTTAAGAGTCGCAAACGTCTAGATTTAAGTTAGTTTTTATTATTATTAATTTTATCTTATATTGCTTAATTCTTATAACAGTTGATTAAGAAACATTTTCCTTGTTTATTATATAGCAGGAAGAAAAATTTTTGTCAAATAAGACACAAATTTTAGCTCTTTTTTTAATAGAAAAATAAACTATAGATATTTTAAAAATTATAAAAAGGCAAAAAATGCCATAAGGCATTTTTTTTATATGTATTGCATAGTTATTTTGAAGCAAAAAAAAATCATGTAATAAGTGTTGATGTTTATTTCTTAAATTAATCAAAAGAAATTCATCATCACTTTGATAAAAGATTCATAACAAAAAAAAATATTCTTAAAAAAAAAATGAAAAAGATTGATAAAAATTAAGATATGACAAATTTTATATTTAAGTTTTGTAACACTGTATTTTTTAAATTATAAGATATTTTCATTTTAAATTTTATATTTAGGTGATGTAATACTTTTGATCACATTTGTTTTTTTTTAATAAAAAAACATTTTTAAATCATTTTAAAGCTGAAAATTGTTTCTTTTAATGAAAAGAACTTTTAGATATTTTTTAGAGCTAAATCTAAATCAGATCAAATTTGAATTTTAACTGATCTGTTAAGTTTGGATTTAAGATTTGATTTATCAGATTTAGATTAGAATTAGATTTAAATAAATATATTAGATTCAGATTCAAATCAAATTAATAAAAATAAAAATCAGATCAGATTAGATTTAGATAAAATTTAATTTAATCTGATCTTGTAGAACATTACTTTTTATATAATATGAAAAAAATAAAACTATTAAATAAATAATAATTTATTATTTTTAAATTACTTTCATTACTTTTATAAAAGATATAAAATATTATATATATTATTGTTATATACAAATATTATATATAAGTTTAGATCATGTGATCATATTATAGAAATACTGATTAATATTTTAAACTAATTAAAAGAAAGATTAATTAATTTAATATAAATTTTTATATTAAATCAAAGTAGATATTTAATTTAATTCTGCTTTAAAAATTATAATTCTATATAATACAAAAATAATTATATTTGTATATTAAAATAAATATTATATAAAAAGCTTTTAATTATAATTTTATTTTTTAAAATTAAAATTTAATAAATTAATTTTATCTAAAATCAAATAATAATTAATATTTATATAATAATTTAATAATTAGCAACTTAAAATTAATTAGATTATTAACTGATAAATGGATTCAAATTAACTTAATTTATAATTATAATTAGAAATATAATTTTATAATACATTAAGAATAATTATATTAAATTATAATAGTTAATTAACTAACATTTGATTAATATAATTTACTTAATCTGTATACTTATATAATTTAAATTAAAATGTTAGGTTTTATCTTTCTGGTAAAATTACTTAATATTTATTTATTAAATAACATAATTACATCATTCTGATTTATTAATTCGAATATGGAACTATCTCCAGTTTCTTTTTTGATGCCGTAAGTGGTTAGTAAACTTTCGAATTAGTTTAAATTAAGCTTCATAAAATGAAGCGACCGTTTAAAAGGATATATAATTTTTTTTTTGTAGGTAAAGTGGCTGTCATACAGGTTTGTTTTACCCGACTCCTTTTCCTCATTTAG